CCCCGGCTGCACCACTTCGACATTCCCTACCAGCGAAATGAAATCGGCTAGTAGTTTCTCATGGTGCCAAGTACAAGTAAAATGTTCCACATTCTAAAGACTTAAAATAATCGCAGAGGAGCGTAGTGCTAGCGTTACACGTCAGAAAGAGAGAGAGGGCGAGAGAGAGAGAGAGAGAGAGAGAGAGAGAGAGGAGGAGAAGGAGGGAGAGACGCAGAGGAGAGGGGCGTGAGAGACGAGCGAGCGAGAGAAGCAGGGAGAGAGAGAGAGAGAGAGAGACTGAAGAGAGAGAGAGAAGAGAGAGAGAGAGAGAGAGAGAGAGAGGCAGGACCAGTGGAGGAGACCTCTCATGTAGCGCGTGGGAAGGGCGGCGGCAGCAAGGAGAGCAGAGGACGGGGAGACGAGAGGAGAGAGAGAGAGAGAGAGCTGGAGGCAAAAAGAGATGGCGGAAAGAGAGAACAGTTCAACACACACGCGCGCGCGCACGAGCACGCACACGCACACGCACACGCACGCGCACGCACACGCACACGCACACGCACACTCACACACACACACCACAAAGAGAGGGAGGATGAGAGAGAAAGAAAATAATGAATTATTTCCCGTGTGTAAGCTCCGAAGTGGCTTGATAAAGCCGACAATGTTGGCTGCTGTTACAAGTATCTGTTGACAGGGCGGACTCGGCAAACAAGAAAAGGTGGTTCGTAAGCGTTGTCAATATTGACCCGTACAACTAGGACAGCGCCATTGTGTAGGTGGCGCTGCCTACCTAGTTACTGGTGGGTGTTGCTATGGGAGGGACGGTCACGTGATACAGTTGACGTATACTTCAAAACTTAACAGTAACCATAACCCTAACACTAAATATCTATATATCGGATATCTATATATAGGGGTGTCATCCACAAAAATTAATCTATGGTGTGGGGACAGATATCATGATGCAAAAACCCTAACCCTAACCCTAACACTAACCCTAACCCTAACCCTAACCCTAACCCTATCCCTAACCCTAACCTTAACTCTGATCCTAACCCTAATCCTAACACTAGTGCTGCCACGTTGCGGTACTGTCCCTCCACGCCCGGGGGATAGCATTTCCCGTTACTGGTACTGCAGAAGCGTGTATATATATATCAGAAGTAGATAATAGGGAATAATAAGGCTCCCTATTATATACTTTTGATATATATATATCGCTACAGGCGATTCCCGCGATCCCGCGATATTCACGTATTACGTCGCAAAGTTCAAGTGTGACGGAATCGAAATCTGGCGTCGGGCGTGATCGATCTTTATATGCACTAGCCTGCATGTCGGCTTTCTTCGACTTTGCATGCCGTAGTCAATAATGTGGGTTTCGTTTCGCGCCAGTGATGGGAATGATCATTTAATGGAGTCGGGTTGTCGTGACGGAGACGTAACATAGCATACATACCACCAAGAGCCCATCCATTTGGGTCTCCATCCATAACCTCCATGGGGTTAATGGGCTTTTGATGCCACGTCTAGCGGCCGATCCATAAATGAAGCCAAAAAACCCGTCTCTGATCCTGATGTGCGGTTTATTCGCGCGAGTTTGCACGATGAGGACGTGCAACAGACAATACTTTTACGACCCTAACTAATTGTCACCGCGTGCTGTTACGAGGCTGCATGTTGTGTTGGGGATCGAGTACACGCTGGATTGGATGGGGAAGTTAATACGCTCAGCGTACTCTCGCAGTCGGGTTTTTGTGCGTTGTTTTGGGATAGCGTGTCTACTACTTTAGTCAGCTGCTTGTTTTGGCTTGTAATTGTATACGTGGCCGGAGTGATGCGTGATCATGTCTCCAACCACCCGATTGCCCTTTACTGCTTTTGACGGCGCGGTTATATATGTGATGTTTTTTGTTTTTCTGGAGTAGCTGTGCTTCCACGTGTATATATGTGATGGTTTTTTGTTTTTCTGGAGTAGCTGTGCTTCCACGTGTATATATGGCATAATGTGATGTTTTTATTTATTTGCCGGGGTAGCCGTGGCTTTCAACACCCTAAACTTGTTACTATTCTCAACACCGCCTCATCCGTGCTATAGGCTCCTCGTCGTGTGGACGTGTTTTCCCTCCTCTCTCCTGCCATCTGTTCCTAGAGTCGGACTCGTTTACGAGGAGTTGTTCGTGTGCGCTGTATAGAGGACTAAGAGGAGGCACGCTCTCACTCTCTCATTATCGCACTCTCTTCTCTGGATCTTGCGGCGCATGCACTGTACGCGTTGTTAGACTATAGAGTCGTACACGCGTGTTGATGTGGGTTCTGTGAAGGTTACACGCACGGCTTTCGCCTGCGTCTCGTCAGTATTCTGTCGCCACCGTATAAAAAGCTTCTCGCGTGCAGATTCGTTGATAGCACGTGGCAAGACGATTCAAAAGATAGAGTTTTTGTACGACACAGGGATGTGTGCATGGAGGACGCATGTTGCGAGATGCAGCGTGTATAATAGTAGTCAGGCGTGCGTATATGTACTGTAACCTCGGCACTTAAAAAAACCAAGGCGTCTTCTTCTGTTACTAAATCGTAACATAATCGACGATACACGGTGTATTAATTTTCAGTATATCGGAATAATATTCATTATCATACGATAATTATCATACGTTACTTAATTTGGTCACGGGAATAGCTATACGAACTAGACTGACTCCAAACGTCCCCGTGGTAACCTGGTCGTTTAACTATATGTTGTTTCCAACAACGACGTATGGAGCCAGTCTATAGACGCACGATAAAGTTAAAGGTGCTGTTTAATTTAAAATTACATGGGACGCATATAGCATTTAAAGGAATAATAAGTCCATTGATTATGCAATGTTGACGAATGCTAGAGTAACTGGCACCTTGTGAAAATAAATTATGCTGAAAATAAATGACATTACAAGATGCATTCCCACGCACATTTTTGTGACAAACCGTTGTAAAAACGTAAGTAAATAACTCACTACACTTTAACTAAACATTAGCTTTGAAAATAAAACTGTAAAAATATGTATCAAGTCTATATTCGTTCAACGAAAAAACAACTCGAAAAACGCGTTTCGCCGCGGTGCTGTATCATGACGGCAAGAGTCGACGCAGGTTACGTAACCAGCACATCAATAGATATCATCAGGAGATCATCAGGGGTTAATAATGACAAATTCAATTACAATGAGAATTTGTCATTATTAACCCCTGATATCATTTATAACACAATGTCATGTGTTATATGATATCTATGAGCACATGCTGCCTTCATGACCTTCAGCGCTTGGCAATTAACACCGCATAGCAACAAGAGACGCGTCACAACATCGCCGC